TGGCGTCAGTCAGCTTTCTATCGATTTTCCGATACCTCGTGACCAACGTAGCTCGATGCGCGCAGCTCGATACTTCGAGCATAAACATCGACTCGCGTCACCCGCGCCCGCCGCCACCGCGTCCCGCTCGACCTCGACCCAGCGATATGCGGCTGCTGATACGAAAGCTGCTCCGGACTCGACGCAACTCGATTTGCGATTCGATTCGCGATCGTCGCCTGTCTTCCCCAACACGCCGTGTCTAGTCTTTTCCGTCGAGAGATTTTTATAAACCTCGGTACACTTCAGAAAGTCTTCTCATCGCGAGACGTCCGCGACAATTGGCCGGTTCTCTCTGCGAATCGGTCTTTCGACTCTGGCGAACTTTTTTTTTTCCTCGAACTAGGTCGCCGTGAGAAGTTACTTCGCCCAAGTGCGCCAAGTTTCTCGAGTTCACTGCAGACTTTTGCTCCTCTTCTTCCACCTTCTTGGAAATCGTTGTGATCGGTCCAGATTATTCAACGAGCATCGCCGATCCGTCCGGTCGATCGCCGAATCGATACATGTCGGCCGGTCCAACGCGAACCGCGCGGTGTCCGCTCGTGCGCGCACGCGCGAAAATCGCCGTCGAAATCGCCAGTCTTCAGGATCGAGACGTCGATACGCCGATAAGGGTTGCCTCGTCCACCATGATGGTGCGCCGCGTCGCGTATATGGAGATTCGCTCTTCAAGATGTCCTCCTATGGCCGCGAACGATCCGCGAGAACGATAACTCGATCGGGCGACACCGACGGCGGAATTCGCACACACATACACACACACGCACCCGCGCGCGTGTACAGAGACATACACGCAGACAGACACACACGTACACACCGGCCAGGGGTGGCAGAGAAGAAGAGGGGTCGTCGACGATTGGTCGTGGTCGGCGTCGATACGGAGATCAATGGCCGCCCGCGCTCTCTTCTGCGTGTATATAGAGAGAGAGCGAGAGAGACGACGATGGCGTCGAATCGACTGTCAGGCACTTGGGCCGCGCGCTTTCGATCGATCGGCTTTGCGGAGTGTCGAAGTCGCGGCCCGATGCTTCGCGCGCTCGATGGCGCACCTGACCTCGAAGGGTGGCGCGCGAGAGAGCAGACGATTCCTTCGGGTAACCAACTTCTCTTCCTTTCGGACGGGGTGTTCTTCGCGGCCTTCCGATCCTGGACTTCGTCAACGTCGGCTCGCGTCCGCGTGCGCACGCTTCGAGCGCACCGCGACGCTCTCCTCTGTATGTGTGCGTACGTGTGTCTTTCTGTCTCTCTCTCTCTCTCTCTCTCCCCTTTCCCTCTTTGCACCCTCAACGTCGTCTTCGTACTTCCGAATTCCGTCGCAGTTTGTCCAACACGCGAATTTTCTCCCGAACAGATGGACTGGATTTCCTCGCGCGCAGAAACAATTTCTCCTTTTCCTCTTATTCTTCCGCGTTCCTCTTCCTCTTCTTGGTCTCGGACCTCAGGTCTTCGGGGCGCCCGCAGGAACCGCGCGAGGCGAGAAGGACGTTTTCTACGGCAAGGGCGCGCACGAGGTCGAGTCGTGTGGTGTTGTTGGAACACACGGAGAGAAAACGAGCGCGTCTCGCGCTCGCACGGAGTTGTGCGGAGTTGCGCAAATCGCGAATGCTACGCTACGCGAGAGCCTCCGGCAGGAGGGTGCCTTTCTCTCCATCTCTCTCTCTCTCTCTCTCTCTTCTTTGCTCTCTCGCGCGCTCTTCCTCTCGCTCTCTCTCTCTCTCTCTCTCTCTCTCGCGGGGCGAGACGGGAGCGACAGAGTTGAGGGGGTTGCAAGAGTACGGCGGGGAGGGTGAGGGGCGGAGATCTCGCCACGGGGATCTGTAACGAACTCGATACGCAGGGGTTCGAGGAGAGGGACGGAACGCGGCTCCGGGGGATGAAGAGTGAAGAAGGGTGACGCTGCTTGACGACGAGGGAACCGGGGGGGTGGACCAACGAGTCAGGGGTGGCCCAGGGACCACTCGACCGCGTCCGGTACCCCGAACGACGCACAATGTTGTTTCTCAATTAGACGAATCTCTTCCTACATGCATTTGCGCGTCCGCTTTTTTATTCCCCCTCTCATTTACCTCACGACTTAGATCGATAACCGGGTTCGATGCACTTTTGTGGTTTGATTTATCGAGCGACGACGGACAATCATCGATTCGTTGTTACTCGGAGGTCTGTGGTTGCTATCGGTGTATTGTCAGCGATATCGATCCGTCGAATTGACTGACACGCCGTAGCTGTCACGTTGTGGTATCTTTATACCGACACCTGCGTGCTCGCGTTGAATTCTCAAAAATTTACTTAAGGCTCTTGGAAATCGATTGTGTAAATTGTGGAAATGACAAGAGTGAGGAAATTGAAGAGAATATTTATAATTTCATTAGTCGATACTTGAAAAATTTGCTCACTTTTGTAATTTTCACCTCGTTTTATGATACACAATCTATCCTCGTATCATTCAATACGGATATATTTAGATTGATGACGTAAGAAGAAGATATGTAATGAAAATTAATGCAAAAATCTATTAAAATATAAATATTTTTCACAATAAAACAATATTCGCATTTTATATATATACTTGTAAAATATACCGAAAACTTTTTTATTTTGGAATAGAATGAAATTGTATTTATTTCTCTCAATTCAAGAGCTATCATACATTGTTTCATTTTTTAATTAGGCACAATTCAATTCCAAATATGGTTATTTATTGATTACCAGAAGACAAACGAAATTTCTGATACATTGTTATTTTATTTAGAAATATATACATTTTAATATAAATTGTGAGATTTATTTTTCTTGCTCTTCTGATGTCACAATCACTGCAGAGAGTAGATAGTTTTCATTCTATTGAAGTGCTGGCGAACAAGCAAGAGGACAACACGAAATGGGATTTTGAAAATTAACGGAGCAATCGGATGGTGTATTTTTAATAAACGAGTCCAGTGTAAACACATTGAGTGTTACAATATTAAACGCGCATGCAGAGTTCGTTAATGTTCAATTCAATGGGACTAAATAAGCGAAAGCGAGATCTTTTCTGTAACGTCGAGTGATTACGCACAGAGCTTTACAATTTGACGAGCGCGCTGTGTTTACAGTCCTGATTTTATACGATTAAATATTCTGAAATATCCGACAGCATTTTGTATCTTAATGACAAAGTAACAACAAAACGTTCTAACGGAAATAATAAAAATAAAAGTAATATAACGTTTTAATGAAAACTTAAACGCTGATGTTTTTTTAATATTATAACTAAACAAACAATATGTTTTATTTATATACATATATATATATAATAGATAATATTTACGAGCACAAACAGGTTTTTACACAAGTTA